TTCCCTTCCCTTCCCTTCCCTTTTCCATTAAGAGCTGGGAGAAGTGTCAGTAGTGAAATATATGTGAAAACAAAAGTTAGGATTATATCATCTGTGGTTAAGATTGTATCATCTGTGATGTTTGCAGATTGAAAAGAACCTCAAATCTCTGGAGAGATGCCAGTCTTTGGAAGAGATCCAGCGCCTCTATGAGGCAGGGGACTACAATGCAGTGGTGCATCTGCTCAGGCCAACCTTGTGCTTCAATGGCTATGGCAGAGCCAAACACCTGGAGTTTGTCACATCCATACCTGAGAGACCAGCTCAGCTGCTTCTCCTCCAGGTTTGCTGTGTTTCTTACAAAATCTGTTTCAGTAAGGAATTAAGACTTATTCCTGAAAACAGGAGGGAAGGAATTTTGGAGTGGATGTTAACAGTTATGAGTCTTATTTACAAAGCCAAACATGGAACCAAACCTGTAAATGCTGTGAAGATCACAGCTTTGTCATCATCATTAGCAATGTGGCAGCTTTTGCTGACTAAAGATGTGGCTAAAGATGCAAGATGTTGAGGCCTCCATGGAATGAACAGAAACTTGAGTTTCCTGAGTTATTTTATGGATGAATTCATGCTGCTGTTGACTGTATGGTGACTTAGAACCATTCTGAAACTTGGGTATCTTGCTTATGAATGATTTTTATGCTGTAAAGACTCTCTCCTGCATGAATGAGAAACTGTTGATACATGCAGTATAACTGCTGTAGAGTTAGTCCATTTGACACTGTAAAAATAAGTATTTAATAAGTGTATTAATGAGCTCAGCTCAGCTGAGTGTATTAGGTTTTTCTGGGGAAAAAATGTTTGCACAAAAAAAGACTGATAGGTTTTTAACTGCACTGAACCAAGTCCTACATTTCCATCTGGTGACCCAACCTTTTTAGAGTAGAAAGAAGCAGAAGTTGCTGTTACACTGGCCTTGGAGTTGCCACTTTGTTATTTATGAAGTAATAAAATGGTAGCATGAGATCATAAAGATCCAAACCCTGTTTCTTGTAAGGGCTTTATTCAGCTGTAGATCATTAGAATTACAGACCTACAGCCATCCCTTTCCTATTTTCTTTCCTTGCATCTTTTATTAAAGCAGAAAGATGTGAAGATTTTTTCTGTATTTAGATCCTACTTGTGTGTTTGTCATCCAAGATCCATGCACCTCCTATTGTCCTTTTAATGTTGCATTTAAAGTTGTTGCTTCATTTCATTGAAGTAATCACATTAACTGAGTATAATGTTTTGCTTTGCCCTGCTGTGCATTCATGTTTAAAATAAACTCTTCATTGTTATAATAGATCTTTTTCATATTTACATTCCCTAGGACTCCCTGCTCAAACTGAAAGACTACAAGCAATGCTTTGAGTGCTCAGATGTTGCCTTGAATGAAGCAATTCAGCAGATGATTAACATGACAGCAGCCTCTGCTAAAGAGGAGTGGGTTGCTACGGTAACACAGCTGCTGACAGGAATAGACACTTCATTATCCTCAGTTAACAGCATCCTGAAAGACTCCTCTGTCACACCCAGCCTGGTTCGCTTAACAAACAACCTGATCCAGGTAAGGCATGGCCTGGCACCAGGGATGTGCTGTGTCCTGCAGGATCCAGGGCAGGCTGCAGGATCCAGGGCAGGCTGCAGGATCTCCAGGGCAGGCTGCAGGATCCAGGGCAGGCTGCAGGA